TAAATTTATATTTTTAGTAATAAAACTACATTTTTCTTGTACGAATTAAATAATTATAAACATATAATTGTGTGTAATAGGTACATTAAATGTATACATATTTGTGGGAACTTCAGTGAAAATTCCACGTTGAAAAATAGCAAGTGATATATAAGTGAGTGGAGGTCCATAACCTATTGATGAGAAGACTGATTAAAAAAAAAGGACATTAAAATATTTATAGTAATAAAAAAAAAAAAAAGAGGAAGTTAAAACTATTTAATTCAAGTGAATAAATGGTTTTTTTTCCTCGTCAATTTCGATATGAAAAAAAGATTTTATTTTGAATTAATACTAATATTTTTTTTCTGACAATATCGTGTGCTGATTATATTCTAATTAATAATTATGGACTCTAATGCCACTAAATTAAATTATTTCAATTACTTAATTATAGTATTTAGTAAGTTCAAAAATTATTTAATAATAAGACTTGTAAATATGATAAGTCCTATTTTTCTGTATTCAATTTTCTTCATGTTTCGGTTGGTTCCTCTGCTTTCTTTAACACTAGACATTCAAATCGGTTCTGTTGTACATGATCAAATATTGAAATGTTAATCTCATAGCTTAAAATAATAAAATTCAATCTAAAACTTTAGAATAAAATAAAGAAACACGGTTTTATTAAAAAGAATTCATAATAATAATAATAATGAGACTTCCATTTATAAGGTTGGATTTTATTTTTATTAATAAAAATTTGAGTAATAAATAATCAAAAAGTTAATTTTTGTAGATATTGTATTTGAAACAACTTTACTCTCCTTTTTTTTTTTTTTTTTTTTGGTTTGGGATTTTATTTTTTTAATTAATAAAAAATTTGAGTAATTAAATAATCAAAAAGTTTAATTTTTTGTAAGATATTGTTATTTGAAACAACTTTACTCTCCTTTTTTTTTTTTTTTTTTTTTGTAAAATGAAAAATGAAGTGGGCCGTGGGGTTTGGGGTGGCCTTCGGAGACCAAAATTTTTTTTTTTTTTTTTTTGTAAAATGAAAAATGAAGTGGGCCGTGGTTTGGGTGCCTCGAGACCAAAACGTGTTTAATAGCAAATGGTGAATTTGTGATAGGAGTGACAATTGAATCGAAAGGCACCCAATTAATTATGACCCAATTTTTCCTTTTAAAAACAAGAAAAATGCCACCGACTATCTGTGGGTCACTATTAATCTTACAAACCCAACAATCATCAACCTAAAAAATTCCTTTTTCTTTTTTTTTTTTTTTCTTTTGAAATTCATTGGTGGGCTTGAATATTATTTCTTGCACACGTGGCACTCCTGCAAACCACAAAAATGAAAATCAAAGAAAGCAACGCTATGGACTTAAATGCACCAAAAGGAAATTGACAAAGCCTAGAGTGGAAACAATGGAGGCGGTCGGTTCATCACATCAGCAGTTTACAATTTATAGTCTACAATCTACATTCTAATTAAGATGGTCGGTTTTTAAATATTGTCTATTTATTATATATTAATTTATATATTTACCTAATTATATTTTTAAAAAAAATTATCCAGCGTGGACTGATTGTCCATCGGTATATTTTACTTTTTGCAGTCATCAATCTATTAGGAGGGAAAGAGTTAGTAAAAAAATGTTGTTCAACACAAGATTAATAAAAGAAAATTGGAGAATTATTTTAGTTTGTGAAAATTAAGTTATGGTTTGGATTGATGCAACTTAAAGTTGACGAATTTTTTGTAATCCATGAAATATAAAATTTATAAATTATAAATTCTATGGAATTTAACAATTAATTGTTTCAAAAATAAAATTTACAGATTTGAAGAGTGCTTTTGAACATAAATGAAATAATTTAAATTCACGAATCTCGCCTTCAATTTTTTATATTTAAACATATCTGTGTTTAATAATATAATTCATAATTTTGTAATTTGTCATGTAAATTTAATTATTTAAATTCACTAGAATTGTTATTTAAATAAATTCTTTTCAACGGTGATAATTTTATATTTCAAACAATTGACTTTACAAATTAATTTTTTTGAAGATTCAACTCATTTTTCTTGATTTAACCACTTATTTTGATATATTAGAAATTATTAAAGGCAAGAAAATTATTAGAATTTCAATATTATGATATGAAATAATAAAAAACTAATCATTCCACCACTAAACTAACTTGTCTAATGGCCACATTATTTCCCAAATTGATTAGCCTTTACACCTGCTAAATTTGGTCCCCAGTCCCATGGAACTATATATATATATATATATATAGCTGGCAGCCATTTAATCTAACATTTCTCTTGTTCAATAATCTTATAACTACTAGCAAAGGATTCAAAACAACTTAATGATTGGATTGCAAGCTTAATACATAATAATTTATATAATATATATATTTTTTTATTTCTTTCTTAGAAAAAAAAAACAACATGTTTCCTCTTTTATTAAGTATTATCTATGAGAATATTGGAATAGAAGTGTATTTTAATTAATTTGTTAACTTTGTACAGGTAAGATAATCAAATAATTCCATCTTTCTCACATGCATGACCTGTTTGGCTGCCAAGAAAATGTAATATAGAAAAAGAATAAATTAAAAGACTATAATCTTATGATTAGCTGTGCTTCTGTAATGATAAAAACAACCATGCATAGAATAGAGCCCTTATAAATTATGATTTTGATAAGCTTACAGATTTTTATAATTGGCCTTTTAGGTGAGCTTACAGATAAGTTCATCTGGCAAAACCATCATCACCAGCCTCCATATATAGTCAAATTAATTAATTAATTAATTATTCATGGAATCAAAAATTAATAAAAAAATTTTTTTTGGATAACATTTTTTTTTTAATTTAATGTTACCTTTAAGTGCATTTTACTTTTTTAGGTTTATTTGTAAAAATAATTAGTTTTTCGTTTTTTTGTTTTCCTTTTGGAAGCAAAGGTTTTCTGATTCCTGCAAGGCCAAGAAAGAGATGACATCTGCCTTATTTGCCACCAAAATTTTGCCAGAGAGGTTCTTTGGATGGAAGAGGCTAGAGAGTACAAAGTGATCAAGCTGACATATGCAAACTTAAAAAAATGTTTTTAATTAGCTATTCAAATTAATAATTATTATTAAATAGAAAGAAAGTTTTTTTTTTTTTGAGTTAAATATGATTCAAACAATTCAATTTTGATTTCTAGATCAGTATGAGACTTTTTTTTTTTATTTTTTTTGAAAATAATGGATGTGAGACTCGTACTTAACTTGAGGACGTATATAGTTAATTTTTCCTATAGATTCATCTAATGTATTTTTCATGAAAGGAATTTTATAGTATTTGGAATTTAAGAGCCTGTTCGATAAAATTAATTGTTTTGGTAGTTATTAAGCTAGTGAATTGCTTTTCATAAAATTCTAAAAATTAAATGTTTCATAGATTAAATTTTTATAAAATATTACTTTAACCTTTAAAAGTTAGTTTAAAAACTATGTTACCAAACACTATAAAAAATATCGTTAAGTTACCTAAAAAGCTGTTGTCGAACACAATTTTATATTGCATAATTCTCCATCCTAACAACAATAGTTTTTCGTTTTGATTTTTATATATAAATAAAATATTAATTTAATGTATGATTAATATAATAATTTTTTAAAATAATAATTTTTATATTTTCAATTACACAATAAGTGTTAATAGATCTAAATTTATAATATGAAATATTTAATATAATGATTTTACAAATTGCGATGTTTTTCTGTTAGATGCAAAATAAAAAATTGAGAATGGTGAATTTAGCATTTATAGAGGTCAATATTCTCATATATATACTTTTGAAATCTACTCTTTCCATGATAAAATTGTGAAATTCATGCAAACTAACGAAAAAGACAACATAAGTTTCCAAATCCAAAATCTATACTCTTTGCATGAAAAAATTACGAAGTTGACGGAAAAAAAAAAAAAACATTTTAACTTCCTAAATTCTACCATTGCGGTTAGATGTTGAACTTATTTTTTAAAATTTAGTCCTATATATAGTTTTGAAAACTATATGTTTCAATGACTTTTTTTTTTTTTGGGTTATTGAAATTTGAGTTGTCATACCATAATTTAATCTTTAACATTATTAATATAAACTTTTTCTTTTCTTTTAACCTAAATTCTATAGTGCTCTATCCATATCCATGGTTTAATTATTGGGAAGGTGCCCATATAAAAAAGGATGCAATACTTTAACTTTAGACCGTTGCTTGCCTTGCCTACCTAGCCCCTCCTTAATGTAAATGACCGTTTGTTTAGACTTTTAAATATTGGAAACCTCCAATGAAAAATGTAAATTAAAATAATGTTATTTCACAATTAAGTAGAGATTTTTAAATTAATCTAATGGGTCATTTATAATTAGTATAATTAGAAATAATATTTTTTACATTACTTATTTCATAGTCTTTGCCTCTATGGATGACATATTAAGCTAAATTTACCCAACAAATTTTCAAATTATTGACATTGGCAATTAATTAAAACTATGTGCAAATTATTTAAATAAGTTTTATATTAATATTCTTTTAATTATTGGAAGTCAAATAGTTGAAATATAATTACACGCTATATAAATCGGGTAGCTGTCATTCCCAATTGATCGATGCAGTTGTTCGTTTGTGATGCCTCGTTGGATTTTTTCCAAGAAATGCTGTTTATTTTTAGAGAGAATTCGAATTTAAGACTAATTAGTTATACTTTATCAAAGTATTTATATTAAAATTTAGTTGAGAATTACAAAAACTCCAAGTCAGTGAAAGAATTACAATAACTCCCGGGGCAGAGCCGTTGCAGAAATTGGTGGGCCTAAGAGAGAAAAATTAAAAATAAAAGAAAAATATTTGGACGGCTAAAAATTAATATTAATGATGTGATTAAAGAGAATACATACTCTCTCTTAATCATTGTTCATCTCTAATGACACCTACTTCTTCTCTTCCATAAATACCCCCTCTACACTCTCCTTTCTTCTCCAACCTACGCTTTAGCTGGTCTCTCTCTCTCTCTTTCCTTCTCTCTTAATTTGAAGAAGCTCAAGCTAAGAAGAAAATGGCAAAGGATGTGGAAGTTGCAGAGCCTACAGGAGAGTTCTCAGGAAAAGACTATCATGACCCTCCCCCAGCTCCTTTGATTGATATGGATGAACTTGGCCAATGGTCTTTTTACAGAGCTCTTATTGCAGAGTTTATTGCAACTCTTCTTTTCCTTTATATTACAGTATTGACTGTGATTGGTTACAAGAGCCAAACTGACCCTAACAAGAATGCTGATGCTTGTGGTGGTGTTGGTATTCTTGGTATTGCTTGGGCTTTTGGTGGCATGATCTTTATTCTTGTTTACTGCACTGCTGGTATCTCTGGTCAGTTTCTTTTCTTTTCTTTCTGTTTGGTTCCTAAGAAAATCTCTTATTATGGAAAATTATGGTTTTAATTTTCATCATTTCAATTATAATTCTAAATTACTAGTCTTGTGTTCTATGGTTGTTTAATATCTAACACAGTTACTTTGAACTGTAAACAGGAGGACACATTAACCCAGCTGTGACCTTTGGACTGTTCTTGGGACGCAAAGTGTCCCTAATAAGGGCACTTGGGTACATGATAGCACAGTGTTTGGGTGCAATCTGTGGGTGTGGTTTAGTGAAAGCCTTCCAAAAGGCTTATTACAATAGGTATGGAGGTGGGGCTAATGAGTTGGCTGATGGGTATAACAAGGGCACTGGATTAGGTGCTGAGATTATTGGTACTTTTGTTCTTGTCTACACTGTCTTCTCTGCTACTGATCCCAAGAGGAATGCAAGAGATTCCCATGTTCCTGTATGTACCTGATTCTTTAATTTACCTCTTTAATTTTTCTTTTTCTTGTTATTTTGCGTTTAGGTTCATTTAATTTCTTTTGTTGGGATCTGAAGTCATTTTCTTGCTGGCTTTGTTAGTTTTTCTCATCTCAAGGTCTTGATTTCTGGAACCTTTACTTTCTCCACACTCTTATTATGTTAGGTTTTTGATTTGGACAGCAAGCACAAGATAACACTAATGTCTTCTATCAGTACTAATTTATCAACTTTATTTATGCTTTCATAAATAATAAATTAATTTTTTCATCTTCATCCTTTGTACATGACCATTACTTCAATTTTTAAATAATTTATTATAATATAGACAAATTAAGAATAATATAGTCTATTCATTCAATAATTTATTATAATTTGAATAAATTAAATGATTTGTTATTAGAGGATAGAGGAGTATAAGTTTAGAATTTGCACATAAATTAATGAATTATTGTAAAATATTAAATTTAAATTAAAAATTAATGTTCTCCTTTATTAGGTTTTCTTCTATAATCAACAAACTTTTTCGTTATATTTTACTATTTAGTTATTATAATTTGTTTCATGTCTAATTTTTAAGAGTGTCCTATCCTCTTTTATAATTTGTACTAATTTGAAGTTGATTAATAAAATTTTAAAAAATTATCTTAAGAAAATTAAAATTTCAAATTCTAGTAACCTTTTAGTCTTATTTTATTTTTTGGAATTGGTAAAAGGTGTCATGTCACAATCAATTTAATTAGTGGCACAAATTGGATTTTCACTAAACAAAAAAATGCTAAACCCACTACAAAGCTTACATGATTTGATTTTTTTTTTTTTTTTTATCTTCTTAATTAAGGTTTTGGCCCCTCTTCCAATTGGGTTTGCTGTGTTCATGGTTCACCTTGCCACAATTCCAATTACTGGCACTGGCATCAACCCTGCTAGGAGTTTTGGAGCTGCTGTTATCTACAACAAAGACAAGGCATGGGATGATCAGGTAAAAAGAAATAATAATTATAATAGTAAAAAACTATTTTCACTAATAATTTTAGTTACTGAGACCAGTAAACTTTAGCTCAATAGTCTTGAAGTTTTTCTAGAGTTGAGAAGTTCCAAATTTTAATGAACTAAATTAATTAAAAGATACATATTTTTAAAATTTTTTTTATTGATTTTGTGGTAATTTATTGTATTCTGCAGTGGATTTTCTGGGTTGGACCTTTTGTTGGAGCTGCCATTGCTGCTTTCTATCACCAGTACATCCTCAGAGCAGCAGCTATTAAAGCTCTAGGATCTTTCAGGAGCAATGCTTAATCTATCAAGCTTTTTTTAATTTTATAATTTAAGAAAAATAGGTGGTGGTGCTGGTGGTTAAAAAGGAATAACAATGGATGATGACGAGTGCAATTAAGTCTGGCTTCAAAGGGTTCCCTTTCACCAAATTTGTTTTTTCTTTTCCCTTTAGGGTTTTGAGGGAGAAATTTGGGAAGGCCTATGGAATTGTAAATAATAAACATTTGATGGTCAAGGTTTCTTTTCAATCTCTGTTGTTTTTGTTATGATATTTGTATTTTATGTCCTTTATGTCTATCTTTTAATCCTTATCTTATAATTTTCTATCTTTTAAATTATACATTATCCTTTGGGTGTATTTATCTTGGTTAAGCATATAATTTATTACATGGTTTTGTCTTCTTTGGTCTATCTCTTTTTCTATCTTTATCATCATTATAGTTCATAAACTTACACTTGAAGTTATAATCACCACCTAATTAGTATATCATTTTATCTTAATGCTCTTAGCTCATGAAAGTAAATTTTTAAAAACATAATTTTAGATAACATATTAAAATTGTGTGGTTCATTTAGTTTTTTTTTCCCCTTTAGCGAATATATTTTAAAGCTCTCTTCAAGATGCTGACTTCACGATTCGATCCTACTATTATTATGGTTACGACTCAATCCTGCTATCACTAGGATGGGATCTAATGCACTTCAATTTCTAAACCACGCTATTTTAGTTTAAGTGGCTTTTATTTACTACAACAAATAAATAAAACGGAAAAAGACACTCTTTACCCGGTACAATACTAATCTTAACTCTTAAGATATGACGTGTCTTTTGGATGAAATAATTATTAAGAGATAAGTTTCATCCATTTTAGATAGAATAATTGAGATTAAAAAAGGATATTAAAAACAGTAGATGGAAGATTTTTCTTTCTCAAAGAAATAAAAAGGTAAGTTTCTTTCTTTTTTCTTGGTGACCTTTTTTATATTTTCCTTCTCATTGGGTAGCAAATAATTATGTTAGGATAAAAAAAACAATGGGAATGCATATAAAAGAAAGAAGAGGAATTTCTTTTTGGAATATCCTACTATTTATTTTTGCTTTTTAAAGGACATTCTGAAGTAAGTTAATCCTTAATAATTAGAATAAGAAGTGGAGGGAAAAGACAAAATAACTTATTTATTTTCCCCTCTTTTATATTCTAGGACAAGTTTCTTCCTCAAAACTTTCATGCCTCAAATTATGTTAGTAATTTATTTATTGTTATTATTTTTTTATTACCCGATATTCAAAGTCCACTGTTCAATTAATCCGAATTCACTTTGGACAGACCCACTCAATTAATTCGAATTCACGTTGAAGTTGGACAGACCCACAAAAGGGGAAAACGTTTTCTCCCGAATGTTTAAAAGAACTTTGTACTTAGAGTTCGAATTCGAAATCTCTAATTAAGAAAGTAGGGATTTCTACCATCCCATTTCACCCTTTAGGAGTTGTGAGTATTTTATTTTAAAACATGGTATTCATCTAGTCATTCTTATCTTCAAGTCTATTAAAATTACAAAAGACTATTTATAATTTATCAATGGTCATAAACTAATTAGAGTTTTTCCACTTGAAAATGACATTACAAAAGTGATTAGATGACGGGTGGCGTTTGTGGTTGTGGTTCATAGATAATGAAAGGGTAGTTGTTGAGTATGGATTGTTTTAAAAAAAGAAATGATGTTAGGTCAATAGATTTTGGGATTCCTTGTTTTTCTAAAGGTAGGTGTTTCTATTCTCTTTCATATATTATTAGTTTGGAGTTATAATTTACCTTATCTTGTCCTTAATTTATGGTCTTGTAGTTGTATTCTATACACAAGTTAGGTGATGGTGTAGCTATTTGATGATCATAAATTTTGGCTTATATTATAGGGAAGGTGAACTAGATGCTTGGTAATGGAAATTAATTTATAAATTTTTTTGATGATGAGATCATTTTATAAAATCTTTTATTCCTTATCACTATGGAAGGTCACTAATGATAATTAATTATATGTATTATAACTTTTAATCATAAATTGACTTGTCTTTATCTTGCCATTCACTAAGAAATTAGGAGGAGAGAAGCAAATGTATGAGAACTACAGATTCTGTATTCTATACAATGAAAGAAAAAAAAAAAAAGATGTTGGGCATATCCCGCAAAATTAACTGTTTGAATAGTTGTTAGTTGTTTTAGTAATATTTAGTTGTTTGAATAGTTATTTATAAAACAATAAAAGCTAAAAGGTAAAGGAATTAACCTTTTATAAAACACTACATCAACTTCTAAAACTTAATTTAGATACTATTTTACCGAACAATACAACAAATAGTGTTACGTGTTACTCAATAGGACCATTGTATTATATATATGGTGATTGATAATATGATATATAGATAGTTCCATACGATAAGCCAATCAAAAAAATTGTAATTATTTTATTTTTTTCCTCAGTATTTAAGTAAAAATATTATCGTTTGAATCAAAATATTATTTACAAAAATTAGTCAGCGTAGGTAATACTTTTCCCTTACTCTTTACCATCGTAGATGCTTATATATAGTGTGGTAAATTATCCAGAAATCATAAAAATGATTTTATCAAGAATTAAGAAATTTTTTAGTTATTTATTTTCATTTGTGTGATATGAATTTTCATTCCTAACGCTCATTTACAAACAACTCAACTTTCTTTTCTTTTTTATTGAAATTTTATTTTTCTTAGTACGACTAGTTTTGACTATTAATTTAAATTTAAAAGATATTTTATTATTTGAGTATTTACAAACTAAGTTTTTATGTGTATGCTGAAAATTAATTTTTTAAGGGCATGAAAGTAATATTTGTTTTTTTTGAAATGAAATTAATGCACTATTTAAATTTTTAAAATGGTCATTGACAAATTTCTCATGAATTTTTTTTTCTTACGAAGCAAATACACATAAATTTTTAAAATGGTCATTGATTACAACAAATATGTGGATCAAATAGTCTAAAATGGGCTTCTTGAAAAGGCTAAAGTTTCCATAATGGGCTTGTCTAAGACCAAACCCAATAATGAAATTGCTCGTGAACTATATCATTGTAATGGCAATGCACTTATAATTCCCTTTCTTTAAAGCTTTCAAAACAAATGAGTAACTCTTGTGATTCAAGAGGTGCATTGCCAATAACATGTGAAGCCCTTAATGGGTCATTAAAACTACAACAAGATTCTTCTGTAATTTTAAATAGGTCTATATGGGCTTATTTATGAAGTCACTTTCAAATTACAACCACCGCAAGAAATTTGGAAATGGTAATCAATAAATTATCTTTTTTTTTTTTTTTTGCACACTTATTTCCAAGCTCAAGCAGAGATAATGTAAGCCAAGCCTTTGTAACCGCAGCTAATTCAGATTTCGGATCTGTTCAGCAAAATTAGTTATTTTAATAATTGTTAATTTTTTTTTAGCGGTTAGCTAGTAGCTGTTTGAGTAGTTTTTTATAAAACAGTAAAAGCAAATCTTACATGAGTTAATTTTTTATAAAATATTAACTTAACTTCTAAAAATTAACTTACACGCTACATTACCGTAGTCTAAAAGCTACTAAAAAAGATGTTATCAAACACTGCCTTTAAGCTATTAATTTGAAAAATTCACCTAGAATTACAGTCTCGCGTGTGTGTATATATATATATAGTCAATGACATGAAAAAGTAATATGATTATAGAATTAATAGTGTGGGGAGAGAAGAATTGATTTCAGCTGTTGCATGCTTTACCTTTCATTATAATTACACATGTATAGGCCTTTGCCGTTCCTCCAAGCTAAGAAAAAAGTATCCATTTGTCCAAACATTACTTTTTTCATATTTGTTGAAGTATATAAAGGTTAACATGAAACTTAAATAACAATTCTTTTTTAGTGTTTTTGAGGGTGATTAAGCTTGTATTAAAAGTTAATTAAACACACGCGTGCATGTACTCAATACCCTTACTTGCATTTTAATACACATAATAGGGAATATGATTTTGTACTCAAAGCTTATTCTCTTTCTTGGGTTTGCAAAAATTGAATCATTCCATTCAACATATAACTTTTGCATTTTCATTTGCAGTCTCCACTCTTATATTTGTGTTTTCCACTCAATTATAGACAAGAATGTGAGAAATTAACAAATATGATTTGAAAGCCATTTCATTTAGAACAATAAAACGACAACATCGTGATGTGAATTGACCTCCATTGCCCTAGGAAAGATAAAGATTGTAAATGTTGATTTGTGTAAAGCAATTATAAAAAAGATATAGCTGCGAATTTCGAAATAAAATTATTTTTATATCGAAAATGAGGGTGAAAATATTTCTTATATAACACTATTTCAAGTTGTTTAAATTAGATTCATAAAATTCAATTTCACACTATTTAATCAAAGTGAAACTCAAGTTTAAATAAACTCAAATAACTAGTTGAGTTGAAATCCATTCTATAATATTTGGTTCAAACAATTTGCGAACCTAATTGATAATTAGATTGTTATAAATACAGTTTATATTAACTAATATAATTTATAATTAATTTAGACTCAAACTCAAAGTTCATTTGAGTTTTAATTTGAAATTCATAAACAAAATATTATTAATTTAGTTAATCAAATTTAATATTTTGTACTCTCTCCGTCGCATTTTATTTGCATGATTTGACAAAATACGCATATTAAGAAATTAGTCAACAAAAATTAATTAGTCATTTTTTACCTTTTAACTCATTAAGAATTATTAAAAGTTATTCATTTAACAAAGGATCATAAATGTTATGATAGGAAAAAAAAAAGTTATTTATATATATAAATTTAAAAACCTTGCAAATATTTTGAAATATCTAAAAAAAATAATAATCAAATAAAATAGGACAGATGAAGTATTTGTTAATCAGGTTGACTTGGGGCATTGTGTTTTTCAATTGAATTGAATATGAACAATGTTCTTTGGAGGGGAAAAAGAACTTCAATGTTATGAGGCTTGATTCAAATTACAACATTGGAAAGGGCAATATGGGAAGGCAAAAGAAATGTTTTAACGCAGGAAAGAGATAGGCAGAAAGACAATAATTCTATGGCAAACTTTCTACCAATATTCATTAAGAAGAGTAAAAAAAGCCAACGATTACCACTTATCGGGACATTATAAATGCCAGTCCAAAGCAACCCAATTGATTCAACATTACTACTGCCAGACTTTCAAGTCAAACAATAAAAGAAAAACAAGCCAAAAAAAGCAGCGGAAGATGACTTCCAAGACTTTTTTCTTCCTCTTTTCTATTTTAGTACTTGTGTTTGCTTCACAGGCTCAAGATAGAGCTCCTCATGGCCTAGCTTATGAAAATCCAGTTGCATTTTCACCATCAGCAGTTGAATTTTTCCATCCAAAAACACAACCTAACACAAAAAACCCATGTACTGAATCATCATCATCTGCTTGCTCACCATTGCCTCTAGCAGCTCAAGTTGAAGCAAGTGACGCATCAACAACAGCTAAGAGTGATGGAAATAGTCGGCTTGGTGCTGGAGGCATTGCCGGAATTGTTGTCGGTTTGGCATTTGCAGTGCTTCTGGCAATGGTAGGATTCTACATATTTGTTGCTCGTCGAAATAACATGAAGAACAGAGACAGCTCTGTTATATCTGATGTTTGATAATTTTCTTCTTTCTTCTTGTCTCCTGCATTATAATTTTTTCTATGGAATGAATGTATCTACGGTTTCATTAGTGATAACTTTCTTTCACATTCTAAAAAAAGGAATCTTATTATACATAATTAAATGGACTATGAGCAATGCAGACAGATGTGAAAAGGTAGAGACTGCAGTAATACATAAAAGAATTCTGAACACCTTTCATGAGATCAAGATGATGCTTTAAAACGAATCCTTAATAAAAATATGTATATGTATATATATATAAATTCCTGTTTTGAACTTATTTCTACCTATAATTTACAAATTTCGGTGATTAGCATGCAACATCATAAATCAAGCATCATTATCCGCTAGACAGCATGTTTATTGGCCATTTAAATTTTCTTTGCAGATAGATCCATTTTGATAAAACTAGGAACTAATTTGTTAATAAGTGCTCACTAGGTCAGACTAGAAGTTCGTTCAGGTGTTCATTTATGCAATCGCTACAATATTTGAACTAATCTTAAGAGAAAGCATGAAGAACTTTGACTGACAATTTGGTTAATAAAAATGTTTCCATTAACATTTATACGATGAACAAGACAGTATTGAGGATGGACAAAGAAATTGCCATATCATATACATATTTGACATAACTTAAACATCATAATATATGGTAGCATGTTATTTAGACCTAAGCAAGGCACTGTTTCAGGATATCGGTTCCATAAAGATGATTTAGAAAATGTGAGAATTACAAAAGTGGACATGCTTTTGCATGTACAAATTTCACAAAAAATTGAAACAGATAACCATACATTCATTAACAACACTACTACAAAATCTTCATTCTCTACGTGAGTTAACAGAGGCAACCAAAGGTCCAAATGTCTGGTCCACAGCTTTGTTCCATAGAAGTTGAAATTGCGAGCGAAATTGCTTTCCAAATATGGGCTCTCTCAACTGGAAGAAGTTGAAAAATTATAACTATTAGTACTTCATGTCATGCACTGCAAAATGAGAAGGTTTAACTGCCAGTTTCACTTTACAATTGATAATGAAGTTCATAGATTTCCAATACCATGACTAAAAACGACAATGAAGAATCATGCAAATTGAAAAAGAAAATATAAAAGCAAAAGCCATAAAAACCCATTGGAATACCAAAACAAAAGGCCTTCAACACCCTTTATCGAATTAAGAAAATGTCAGTAGAGTTTTCTACATCTATGCATAGGGTTTAATTATCTCTTCTTGTCTCATGGTGAACAAGATTAGTTATAGCTTGAGGTTCTTTTTGGAGGTAAAGAGTGCTTAAGTCGCTTCTTTCTTCCTAGTCTTCTCTCTTTGTAAGAGAATAACAATGAATTTTTCTAACATGATTTCTCAGTGCACCAGTTTTTTCATGTCCCCCTTTCCTCCCCATTTCTTAACCAACTAACATTGCTATTTCCAATCTGCCACTTGCAAGGGAGTCATGAACGACTCCATTTTTGCTACAAACATTACCTTATCCAGCTTATTGTTATTTCCAAGTTCTGGACATAACATAAGAAACAAATTTAAAGGACCAGCTCAGGAAAAGGTTATTTCGCTGGAGGCATTTAATTTTTCCCATAGTTGTCGGAAGTATGTTCATACCAAGCTATCTTTACAGCATAATTTTACTTTAATACATACCAGAAATATGAATTGGTCCATAATCAAATTGGCTGAATGGTACAAATCAAATAACCAAACTATCCAAACTACTGCCAGAAAGCTTCTTAACCCAAAATAGACAACATAATTACCTAAACTAGTTCATGCCAACAGGCATTGACGTGCCAATCAAAGCTATTTCATCTTCCACAATATAAGTAATAGCTTACTCATCCTAGCAAGGAAAGATATAATTTTCCCAAAAAGATTGGATAATCCACCAAAATATTAAACTAGAAAAATTTTAAAAACAATATGAAATTTACCAACTATAAATTGCAATAAATAAAATTTTAGGGTTTCATAAAGACAAAGTTGAACCTGAGATTGAACATCGAATTGAGAATGATCAGCAGAAATGGACTCGTAAATTCGTCTCCTTTGCTGAAAAACAATAAAACCCACGAAAGCAGATCCCATTGCAGCGCCAAGAAGACGCTCCTACGAAATGGAAAAAAAAAATTACCTTGATATACGAACAAAGACACACATTAAATTATATAAAAAAGAATCGATGTTTACCTGTGCAAGAATGCTAATCATGGTGTTGTATCGGTGGATTTGGACAATGGAGGTTGAACTGGGAATATTGGAAGAGAAGAAAACGCAGGTTTAACTCATAAATTTAAAGACGATACATGGTAGTTAATTGTCTGTAGAACATAGTAAAGAAACGGAAAATGTCAATATGGGCCTGGTCCGAAATTGTCAATATGGGCACGCTCCTATGGGCTTGGTGACCCATTTATGTGATATGGGCTTTCTCCCAAAAAAAAATGGAAATTTTACACTAACACTTGGCCTTAATTTTAAGATAATTTAGATTAGCTATATAAATCATTTAATGGAATTAAGATTTAGAAAAATCACTGAAAGGGCTATGTATATACCATATTAGGGATAGGCAAGAGCAGATAAAATTACAAGTATCGGCAAAGTAATGCCCTTTGCTACTATGGGAACAGATTTTTTTTTTGAAAAAAAAAATTTCTATAATTAAATTTTTTGAACAGTATAATTAAAATTTTTAAGAAGGTTGGAAGTCATTAAACGTGATCCACTTAGCTAAAGTAGCAAGGGCAAGTCATTCTTTTTGCGTGGTATTAGATTTACAGCTTAATAACCTACATTTTCAAAAGAAAAATCATTGAATTTGATTCGGTTTTAATTTAATTGAGCTCTATGCTCAATTTAATTAGGTCAAAAGTTTAATTAATTATTTAAATTTAATTTGAGTTCAGTTGGATTTGAATATTTCAAACAGAGTTTGAGTTTCAATTCAGTATTGTATTAACTCAATTGAACTTGATTACATGCTTATGCTGGCTAAATTTAGAAAATTAATTGCAAGATATGATTTCCTTAAATTTTATATGAGTCACCAATGAAACGGTGTCGTTGCAATTCTGACTTTCAGGTCTTCTCTTCATTGTCCCTCTTCTATAAACCCCATTGCTACCAGATCTCACTCTCCAAATTTCGCATTACCAACAATGTCGGCCCGTTTGATTCTCGTTCTCTCTCTCACCGCTCTTCTAGTCTTCTCTAAACTCTCTCCTTCACTCTCCAAATCTGAAAACGACAAGCAACAACAAGACGACGACGACGAAGATCTCAGCTTCCTCGAAGAGGAAAATGATAAAAACGACGCCACCTCTGACGACACTCACCACTACCCTGATTCAGACCAATTCGAAGAAGATGACATTGATGACGACGATTTTGAAAACTACTCTGATTTTAACGATTCTGAATCCGATCCATATAAGGAACCTGAATTTGACGAAAAAGACGTCGTTGTTTTGAAGGAAAGGAATTTCACCGATATTATTGAAAACCACAAGTTTGTGATGGTTGAGTTTTACGCGCCGTGGTGCGGCCACTGTCAAGCTCTAGCTCCTGAGTATGCGGCGGCAGCTACGGAGTTGAAGGGAGAGGATGTGGTGTTAGCGAAGGTGGATGCTACGGAGGAGAGTGAATTAGCGCAGGAATATGATGTTCAAGGATTTCCTACTGTGTATTTCTTTATTGATGGAGTTCATAAGCCTTATCCTGGGCAAAGGACAAAGTAAGTGTTTGCTTGATTTTTTGCTGCTAGGTTTTTGTTAGCATTTGTTTTGATAGCATTTGTTTTTTTGGAGGGTCTAGAAATGGAAACAAACTTTCTAAATGTCTTTTTATGAACTGTACTTTAGGGATGGTATTGTGACCTGGATCAAGAAGAAAATTGGACCTGGTATATACAATATTACTACATTGGATGATGCTGAAAGAATTTTGACTTCTCAAAATAAAGTTGCTCTCGCCTATCTCAATTCTTTGGTGGTATGTTTTCATTTGGTGCCTTGTGTTGTATGCTTGGCGCTCTCTGTTTAGTTATTAAGTTTGGCTGTCAAAATTTGGATGTGATTTTTGACATCTCAGACTCCCAACTCAATTTAATGTGAAAATTGTGGTGACGAAGAGAAAAAGAAGTTTTCCTCACTCATTGTTGACGTTGTTTGTTGATAACATCTTCCATCTAGAACAATGAACATGAATTTATTCTTGAAATTTGGTGAAATCAGCTCTTTTTTCTTATCTTAATGGTATGGCATTGATCATTCATGCTTGTTTATTCTATGGAACTTGCTGGATCTATTGAATATGGAGATACTGTCTATCATATAGAAGACATAACATTTTGCAGAAAAATTGTCCATTTTTATTCTCACATATCAATTCAGATACTCATGCGAGGTTTGTATATAATTGGGAATAGGATAAGTTTGGCTCTATATGTTGTTCTTGAATGATCAGATCTTTTGGTGGTTTGTAGTTGCTGCATTTGAATATTTGATACATTAATTCTTTAATTGATTACACTCACTTTTATTATATTAATTTGAACCCAATTGACCTACGTGATGAACAGGGTCCTGAGAGTGAGGAGGTCGCTGCTGCCTCTCGGTTAGAAGATGATGTCAACTTCTATCAAACTGTGAATGCTGATGTGGCAAAGCTTTTCCACCTTGACCCTAAAGTTAAACGCCCTGCTTTAGTCATGATTAAGAAGGAGGCTGAGAAACTGAGTTACTTTGGTTGGTTCTTCATTATTTCTTTTGCTTATACTCTCAAATTAAGTTTGTTATGGGCCACTGTTTTTATGTCTAGTTTCTGATTGCACAGATGGTAACTTTTCCAAGTCTGAGATAGTGGATTTTGTGTTTGCCAACAAACTTCCTTTGGTGACCATTTTTACTAGAGAAAGTGCCCCTGCAATATTTGAGAGTCCAATTAAGAAACAGGTACTTGTGTATCTTATCATTTCTTTGGCATTTTTAATACAAGTCTTGTTGCATTTTTACTATAACAACTTGTTAGTCTCTGACAGCTCTGTGATTTTTATTTTCAGCTGTTGCTTTTTGCAACCTCAAATGATTCAAAGAAAGTTTTGCCACTATTTGAAGAAGCAGCCAAATTTTTCAAGGGAAAGGTAACGTGGGATCATTCAATGGAAATTGGTTTCTGGCTTAATTAGTTGGAACAATTACCTGAAAATTCTTATAGAAACACTTATCCTAATTATATTTTATCTTTTGCAATAACATGTTGTATTCTTCCATTGAATTTGTATGTCAGTTCTCTCTCTCTTTCTGTCTTAGTAAGTTATATTGATTTTATGTTTAAATGCAGCTTATCTTTGTATATGTTGAATTGGACAATGAAGAAGTTGGGAAGCCTGTGGCAGATTATTTTGGCATCTCTGGAGATGCTCCCAGTGTAATTTGTTCTGTCTTTCTTTCTAATAGAACCATTTCACTTTGAACTAGTGGTTTTTAATGTTTAACATGATGGAAACTTATGGTGATATTCATTTCCACATAGGTTCTTGCTTACACAGGAAATGAGGATGGCAAGAAATTTGTATTTGATGGGGAATTTACCTTCGATAAGATTAAGGTTAATGCTCTTCCTATTTCCCTCGCTTTATCGATTGAGTAAAGCTTTTCAATGTTTCTTCATTTTTTCATCGCATGCTAATGCCAAAACTAATGATGTATTTCTTTTTTGTAATTTTTATTCTACCATCATCAGGCATTTGGAGAGGATTTTCTTGAAGACAAGCTTAAACCTTTTTTCAAGTCAGATCCAATTCCTGAAACTGTGAGTTACCAAATATTATTTTCATAGCTGATTTATTTATGTTGATTTATTTGATTTCTAACTTGTTTTGGCATTTCATTGACATAGAATGATGGCGATGTCAAAATAGTTGTTGGGAATAACTTTGATGAAATTGTGCTGGATGAATCCAAAGATGTTCTCCTTGAGGTATTGTTGCATCCTAGAAAAATGTGTGTGATAATTAAATGCTCTTTCTTTACTCATTTTGTGGAGCTCATTCCCTTTACCTTCTGCATACCAGATCTATGCACCTTGGTGTGGACACTGCCAAGCTTTAGAGCCAACATATAACAAGCTTGCCAAACATTTGCGGGGCATTGAATCTATTGTTATAGCTAAGATGGATGGAACAACGAATGAGCATCCTAGGGCAAAGGTATTTGCAAAGTTGTTTTATGATTGTGAAATTAAATGTTTCCAACTGGTTTGCTTGTAGGTATTCTGTTTTCATGTTGACTGCTCTGTGTTTATATAGCTTATGATTTATTGATTTGTATATTGACTAAAAATTTGGGGCTTTAGTGATCGTGTTAGAATATGATTATATATTCACAGCTTTTGAGTTAGTTTTCCAAAACAAATGAAGGTACAATTTTTGTCACCTGACTACAATATTATGTCCAGTAGGATGCACAATGTCAGTGTATAGGTCTTAAAAGTCATAAAATATCAGCGGTAAAAGGAAACTAGAACTTTGATCTGAATAACTGTTCTTGTTTTTTCCCCTACGCAGGCTGATGGCTTCCCCACCATTCTCTTCTTCCCAGCTGGAAACAAGAGCTTTGATCCAGTAAGTAGCTTTTGAAATATGTGTGTTTTGCTTTCATATAGCTTATCCAGGTTGTAACATACCTTGTCGAGAATTCCTTTCGTAAACTAATTTTCTGTTTATGGGTGTTGGCAGATAACCGTAGACACTGATCGAACTGTGGTAGCATTTTATAAGTTCATCAAGAAACATGCATCCATCCCCTTCAAGCTTCAGAAACCAACATCAACTCCAAAATCCGAGAGTTCCGATGCCAAAGATACCCAAGAAAATAGCACCAAGGATGTGAAGGATGAATTGTGAGGAATATAGGATTTTATATACTTTGCTAAGTTATGTATCTTTTTATGTGTCATCAACTAGGTTAAGGCAATAGCGTCAGTTGAAAATATGTGAGCAGAGAGGTTAAAATGTCCAAATTGAGTTGAAATCATTAACACCCTACCCAAAAAGAAAAGGGGGAAAAAACGGGAGAAAAGAGACCTAAAAGTAGAAAGGAAACCACAAAAGGTGTGTATTAGCTTTCAAGTTTTGTTTCTCCTTTGTTGGAAGATTCCGTTGAAAATAGTTTTAATAAAAGCATAAAACGCTTCTTCCTTAGTTTGCATCTTGACACGTGCGCATGTGTTGTTGATTTGATTGCTTTTTAATGAGTATGCAAGTTGAGAATTTGTCACGAGTATAAGGTTGTGTTTGAAGTTAGGCTGCAGGATTCAAGAATATTCACAACTTGGTTTGGTATGAATGAATGTTTTGGTATTTTATGGAATATATTTTTAAATCTAATTTTTCATGTTTTACAAAGCCTTTAAACAAAAGCCTAGATTTTCATCTCGTTTCATTTTCCATCATTGGTGATGATTCTAGCAATTCTATTTTTCAATTCTTCTGTTAATGACGAATTTATTATGATAATTTTATTTTGCTTTTATTATGGTATTTTGCATTATTTTAGTTCAATTTGAACGATCATAAGAGACTAAATATTATTTTAGTAGTCCATTAATTTTGCTTAAAATTAATAAATTCTTAAGTAGGAGTTACCAAAATTCACATATTTTGAATGAATTCTCTAACATTAAAATTACTAAAATCCTGTGGTCGGTGTACGTATATACACGTATGAAAAGAAAAAGGCATGACGCCATAACGGAGAGACCCTACGAAACAAATCTTGATGGGCATTTATGGATTTTATTTAATTACGAAACAAATCTTGATGGGCATTTACGGATTTTATTTAATTGGGAAATTGCCAAATTTCATTCGGTTGGTTTGCACATTAAAAGAAACTACTAGTGAAGGAAAACCGGAGGCATGTGAAGCCATGTGTCAGGCATGGATTTTAGTGTAGTTTATTCTTTAATATCTAGTCTATACTCTTCCAAGTTTTTCATTTATTAATTATATTTTCATTTTATAGTGGCATAAGCTTTCTTTCCCTTTCTTTTTTTTTTTTTTTTTTTTCATTTAGGATTTTTTTAATTGGGAAATTGCCAATTTCATTCGGTTGGGTCTTGCACACTTAAAAGAAACTACTAGTGAAGGAAAACCGAGCAGTGAAGCCATGTGTCAGGCATGGATTTTAGTGTCAGTTTATTCTTTATATCTAGTCTATACTCTTCCAGTTTTTCATTTATAATTATTATTCTTCATTATAGTGGCATCAAGCTTTCTTTCCCTTTTCTTTTTTTTTTTTTTTTTTTTTTTTTTTTTTTTTTTCAATTTTTTTACATTGAAATCCCTTGATTACCAAATACCCAAGAATTTCATCCCAGTTAACCAAATTCGAATTATAATCCACTTTATTAGTGGTTCTATTCTTACCAGTTAGAATTTGATTATGCTAAATAATCATTATAATTTTTTAAATCACAAATTAATTGTAGGAGAGTGTTTCTTAATGCATTTCATGCATGTAAATTGATTCGGACATTCTTTATTGCAAGCACTAAAAAAAAATATTCAATTTAAAGATTTTTTTTTTTTTTTTTTTGAAAGAAGAATACAAAATATTCTAATTTCCGCCATAAATTCTTGAATAATATCTAGTTAGGCTCCTATGGAACTTTGAATTTATTCCTAATTTAATCAAAATTTGAATTTCCTTTTTATGATAATTTCAATTCAAGAGCATGTTCTGCCTTTTTTTTTTAAAAAAAAAAAAATTCAAGAGCATGTTCTGCCTTTTTTTTTTAAAAAAAAAAAAAGAAAGAAAAAAGAGTTAAAAACTGACACTTTGTTGCTTCAAAGTTGAAAAAATAATGGCACCAGTTGCGGTGGAAGCCTAATTAACGTACTAAATCCTAAAGTGATCATTTTAATTAAAGAAAGATTTATTAAAGTAAATTGAAATCATACCTTACTTCTTTTTTACCATCATATGTTTATTACCAAATCTCCCTTCAAACATTAGATTCAATTCAATTATATTCCATTTCACATCATTTACCAACTTCCTTTTCCATGTAATTTATGCTGCAAATCATTTACTTGCTTTTCTATAACTATAAATTAACTGATTTTCAAAATATAAATATAGTCTGAAATAATATAAAAGAATGCATAACAGTTTTTAATTCATTAAACTAATGAAAAGATCAACAAAACCACACTTGGTTGAGTATGCAGTTGAAATTTATATAAATACGAATTCATATTTTAAAAAGAATAATCATTGCATTATTGAATTCACTTCAAATTTTATATTATTTGTGGAATATATTTATATTCATTATTTAAATTTACAAGTTCAAAACAATTAGATATATGTAATGTTTGTTGATTTTTTTTTTTTCACTACTTAAGGTGAAAGAAATTGGAGGTTAATATTTTTCTGTCCAAAAAAAATTTCAAAAATTTTGGTAAAAGTTATTATAAATAAATTATTTCCTTTTATACGGCCTATGATACTTTTTTTTAAAAAAAAAAAATTAGAGGGTAAAATATAAATTATCATATTATAATATAATTTCTTTCAATAATATGATAAATGTCAAATGGGATGTTTTGACTCTTTTGAGGCAACCAAAATAAACTAAGCAAATAATTATTTTTAGAAAAAAAATAATTTTTTCTCATCCTCGTAGTCTTCATTTGTTAAAGGTTCCTTCTTCATTAGCTCAAGAGTTTTTAAATGTCGATTTGGTTGATGTTACTTGGCATTGTGTTTCATTTCTTCGGTTAATTCTCTCATTTCTTTTAAAAAAATGGTTAAATAAATTTATTAGATGTTTGCATAAAGGAGGGTTTGTATATTTTATGTAGGAATTCTAATTATACAATAAATCTAATTTACACGAAACCATGTACCAAATCCAATTTATACAATTTGAACAGAAAGTCCAAACTTTATTATTAGATTAGAGTAATGTTTATTACGTAACGTTCGGTACAAAAGCTTCTGATGTTTTTTAACAAAGAAGACAAGTGTATAATTGCATTTGCAAAAGCAATTAACAACATTTAAGAAATAGGTAAGTCAATTGATAATATTTAAGAAGTAGGAAAATCAATTAACAACATTTAAGAAGTAGGTAAGTCAATTAACAATATTTAAGAAGTAGGTAGGTAATCAATAACATAACGTTGAATATTGGCATTAATTGCTAGATTATTTAATTTCCCACACATTTTTTCGATATTAGTCTATCTATTTAATCCACAATCTTTTTTTTTTTTTTTTTTTTAACAAATCTTTTTTTTTTTTTTTTTTTTCTATGGACATATGAGGATAAACATTTAAAGTCTTTTGCTTTAAACTTTACTCCCATCGTATCAAAATATAAGTTGTTTAATATGTTAATTTTATTGGTGGTTCCACAATTTGGGACCTGTTTATTTAATTGTGCCTACACTTCAATTTGTAATTTAAAAATGTTAGACCTTCAATTTTGTAATATTAATGTCACGACCCATTTCCATGGGCTGCATCGGCACTAGGGCCTAGGTAAGCTTAAGGCCCCCGAGGCCCGTAGTAAACCTGAATCACTAAAATTTCACTTTCTCAATATAAATTTCAAACATTCAGCCCATATAACTATGCAAAACAAATCTCGTAATTATATAATTATATTATATCTCAGCCTAAATTTAACATCTTAAACATTTCACAGATCGAGCTCTTTAATAATATGGGCTCACAAAATTATTTCATCTATATTAATACACGACTAATAGTTTATAAATTCTACAACTGCGGAGTTCACTAACAGATATATACAGATAAGATTTCGTACATTTATCTATTTAATGAATTAATACTAAAATTAGAGAATTTTTTCTAACAGTGAAAGAAGCAGAGCTTTAGCTGGAATTTAGGAAAAAACTACTTCCTGAAAGATTAAACAAAAGAGATGTGAGTTTATTAATGAATAATAATTATTGCACAACACATGCATTCACACGAATGTGCAAATAATTAAATCTAGTCATCCGACTAGTTATATGATCACGCGGGCAGTCACACAAATGGCACAACAACAACACTCGCAATTATTAACATCTCACATAATCACATAACGTGGAAATTAGTCAGTGGCGTCACTGAAAGTGGCGTCACTGAAACCTCCAAGAGCCATCCTCCACATGGCTCTCCTCTCGTGACGTGTGCACTACGGAGCGATTTCCATACATGCGCCAATCGGTCTAATCTCACTGACCAGCCCTCTTCATTGTTTTCATTCTTCTCTTTTTCTTTTCCAATACCAAACAAAGAGGCAACCATGTGGTTTATCCACATTATTCCCATATCATATCATCAGAGTGCACACGGGGCGTCGATCTCCATTATGGCCATATGGTTCTCGTTAGACCGCCCTCACAAACCCATTTGGTTGACCCACTTGATCCCAACTCCACACATACAGGATAGCAATTATCACACAACCAATTAATCAAGTATTGCAATTAGATGCAAGCATAGCAAACAATTAATTAACATGATGCAAATACACAAGTAGTTTCATTAGTTCAATCTTTAATTTAAATAGAGAATTAGTAATCAACAACATTTATTATAATAAATTGATCCATCGAAAATAATTAAATAACTAATAAAATAACACTAATAATATAATAATTAAAATAATTAGAAAACTATTTTATTTATTTAAGTTAAAGAATTTATCTAATAAACCGAATTAATTTAATTATTGATTAAGGACTAAACCTAGGTTCTATCGAAATTTCGGCGAAATCTCCCCTAAAATTTGATCAAACCATAATTCAATAACAAATTTTCAAAGCCCATCCATTGGGCAATTCACATCAACTCATCTCATCAGCCATAACCATAATTATTCATTTAATCTCTTACTCAATTCACACAGCCCATTCATCGGACAGTCAATCCAAATAACCCATCCTTTTTAGGCTACATACGTCATCTATCACACACACACACACACACACACACACATGCACTTAGTAACTCCAAACCAACTAATCAATAAGTCATAATAGCCTTCGAGCATATTCAATGATATGATTAAGTATTCTATACCTAATTACCAAATATTACCTTTGCTATCTAAGGTTAAGCCGATTTATAAAGTAACTAATGAACATAAACATCTACCTAACCTCTACATCCTACTAGTCTAAAGTATCCATATATTTTCAAATAACAACTAATTTACAATTTAGTTAATAGATAGCCAACTACTTGCCACTGAGTTCATATTTCATGTTATAAAGCAGCTAATTAATTCAAGATTTTATATGTGCGTGTAAAACCAAGACTTCAACTAATTTTATATCATACTAACAAGAATCCTAATTATTTTATAATGCTAGTTAGCTCCAAATATGCACTTAATTGCACCTAATAAAATTCCAAATTCCATCCTTTAAAATCTATGATTAAATCCTCCTAAAATCTCCAACTAAATCACAAACTTCAACCTAAAATTTCAAAGTCCCACAATTAATTATCTATTAGGAATCAACTAAATTACCCAATAAATTAAGCTTGGAATTTATACCAAAAATTAAAATAAACTGGGTCTTAGAACGTACCGATCGAAAATCGAACGACATTTCCACGATCCAGGCTAAGAGATGAAAATTCTGTCCTTTAGTACCTCGTCAGAGGCTCGCTGGCCGGTCGCCGGACCGCCACCGTCCACGGTGGCCGAAAAGTCAATTTTTGCTCAGAATTTTGCAAGAACACCACCACTCCAACCAAATTTCGCTGATGGTTCCATTTCCGATGTCAATTGAGCAAGATGGGACCTCTAACTGGGCGTATCGGACTTGACAGGTGCTTGAGCTTTCGTCCATGGCGGATTCCCTTTCTGAGCTCCATTGCCGTGATTGATGAAGGAGAAACGATCGCATTGAGGAGATGAAGCGATCGGCCCCCCTTCACGCTGCAATCACCGGCAACGGCGTGAATCGCCGGAAGTTGATGAACGCCAACTGTCTTGATGAACGCCAACTGTCAAGAAAGAATGGCTCCATTTCGCGTCAATCGAAGCTCTTTCCGCGTGAGGGGAGGCCGGAGACGAGACCCGCAGCACTAGACGAGTCGAACGCCACCTCGCTCTCGTTGAGTGGTGACCGAAAACGGGAAGGGAGGCATAGAGAATGCGAGCCCCCTGCTGGCGAAGAAGAAGGGAAAAAAAAGAAAATGGCTTTCTAGATTCTCTAGGCCATTCCGGTTCGACTCGAATCGATTTGGCTCAATTTAGAGATCTGACCTGGTTTTGCTTAGTTTTCGAGTTTTTCGCTTGGTTTTCGAAAAATTCAAGCTGATTCATGGGCCTGATTTAGTATTAATAAAATATTTTTCCCTTGATTTAATTAGTTAGGTTTTATGATTATATTTTTAAATGAAAAATTTTTTAAAAGGATTTTCCGGGTCGTTTCAATTAAAATGTCTTTACCTGTTTCAATTGCTTTTTCGACACCGCATTTCCACGTGGATTAACAGGTCACATGTAAAAAAAATTAAAATATTATCTAAGTGGAATATTATATATTTTTTATTTTTAAAATTATTTTTAAATAATAAAAAATATTTTGATAGTAATAATTAGTTAAAGTTGTACATGGTCACAAAATAATTAAATTAAATTTAGTCAAGTTAAAAATTTTTCGATCAGGCATAAATAATGGTAGGATCCATACTTTGGTTAAAATTTTTATATAGAGTTTAGACTTAAAAACTTAAAATTTTTATAAGGAAATTTAGTCAAGTTAAAAATTTTTCGATCAGGCATAAATAATGGTAGGATCCATACTTTGGTTAAAATTTTTATATAGAGTTTAGACTTAAAAATTTATTAAAAGGATTCATAAGCTAGGATTTTGTATCCTCTCAAATAAATTTAAAGGATATTCATATACATTATTGTTGAAATTGGATGATCTGACCAGTCGAACTAGTTAAACCAAAACCAATTGGTTGTTCAGTTCGATTATCAAGTTGGGATGATTTTTGAAAAAAATTATATTTTTTTTAGAAAATCAGGTTGAACAGTGATAAAATTTGGGTTTTCTTGATAAAACCGGATAAAACTGGATTTTCTTAATAAAAATCAATTTTTTTTGGAAAAAATTGGTTTTTTTTTAGAAAAATGGGTAAAAAAAAAAAAAAAAAAAAAAGAAAGAATCCTTTACTAGCTAAAGTCCGAATGCAAAGAAGCATGTTTTCCAACCACTACTACTCCAAACAGAATCTCTCTCTCTCCCTCCATTATTTTATGTAATTTAATTATCAGATAACCATTCAGGCAGTTCGTAAATATCTTGATTAATAGTGTCCTTCAACTCTTAAATATTGACAGTAATATGGTTTCTTTTTTTTAAAATTATTTTTATAAATGTTAAATAAGTTTCAATTAGGAATATAATTGAGTCAAGCTACTCAAACTCTACTTGCAACATATTTGAATCAGTCAATTTTAGTAGGGTAGAGCTTGACCCTGAGTCGCCCAAGCAACAAAATCAAGTCAAGATCACAGATCATAGAACTTGACTTACAAATATTTAAATTTTACATATTGCTTAACATATTTTATATTTAAATAATATCTAATAATAAGCTAATCCAATCTTATTCTAGCAATACCCTAACATTAATTGTCACGTCGAATTTGAACATTCCTGGCATCTATTTAAGTAGAATTCAAATTTAATAAACTTAAAATTCAATTGAAATCTGAAGAAAATGAATATTCTAATTAAATTTCATTCAAACAGGACATTATATAAGTTTGACACCATTTAACTCAATGATACGACAGCATTTTATAGCTATTTCAATGGTTTTACTCTATTTAAGCTAAACTTTTAAGAGAAGTCATGTTAAATAATAGTAAACACTATCTTAAACACGGTAGGTTAACACAATCAATAAAATTAAAGTTTTCTTTCTTTAGTTTATTTTTAATTTTTACGTTGAAAATGAAAATTAAGATCTTGAAGATTGTTCCTCTTTACAAACATTAACAATTGGAATCAAACAGCTTTGGCGTGTAAGAACTTTTTGCGCGTTACGTCACGTAACGAGCCACATGGAATGGCCCATGTGCTACTCCTGGGATAGCCCGTGCGATCGACTGTGAGTACCTAAGCTCCCATCCATTTATAAATTCAGTGCTGGACAGTGAACTTAAAGGCCAACATTTGGGAATTCCAACAATATCGTTCTTCCTTTAGCTTGAAGCCATGAACCACAAAGAAAACACAAATGGCGTTAATGGGTTTCACAGGGAAGACGATTTTGACCCCAGTAATCCACCGCCATTCAAGATTGCAGATATCCGGGCTGCCATTCCTAAACATTGCTGGGTAAAGAATCCATGGAGGTCTTTAAGCTATGTTTTAAGGGATATTGTTGTGGTTTTTGCTTTAGTTGCAGCTGCATTTTACTTCAATTCTTGGCTTTTTTGGCCTCTTTATTGGGCTGCTCAAGGAACGATGTTCTGGGCTATCTTTGTTCTTGGTCATGACTGGTGAGTGCTAAGAACCCTTTTACATATTTTTTTTTCCAATGTTGAATTTAAGCATGTCATTGTTTTTTTAAAAGAAAAAAAAATGTTAGCAATTCTCATTTTCTTTGTGGATCTGTAGTGGCCATGGGAGCTTTTCAAACAACTCCACATTAAATAATGTGGTGGGTCATATTTTGCATTCTTCAATTCTTGTGCCTTACCATGGATGGTGAGTTACCCTGTTTCTATGCTCTGCTCTATTCTATTCATTCTTCTTACTCTACATTTAGCTTCAACTTTAAATTGTGCAGGAGAATTAGCCATAGGACTCACCACCAGAATCATGGAAATGTGGAGAAGGATGAATCTTGGGTTCCGGCAAGTTTTTTCCTTTTTCGTTCTTTTAATATCTATTCCTTGCTTGGATTATTATTTAAGTAGCAGATTTATTATAATGACAATTCTCTATCTGTCTCTTACAGTTACCTGAGAAGATCTATAAGGAATTGGATTTAAGTACACGGATTATGAGATTCACTATCCCTCTCCCCATGCTTGCATATCCTTTTTACCTGGTAAAAAATCTAAATTGCATGTTAAATTGACTATATATGCATATATAGCTTTAATTTACAGAGCTTAACCTCACCTTTACATTTTTCAGTGGTCAAGGAGTCCAGGGAAAGAAGGTTCACACTTCAATCCTTATAGCAACTTATTTGCGCCTCATGAGAGAAAAGCTGTGTTAACCTCTACTTTGTGTTGGTCTGTAATGGCTCTTCTGCTATTCTGTTCATGCTTTATTTTTGGGCCTGTTCAAGTGCTCAAGTTCTATGGAATTCCATATTGGGTTAGTTCAGTTATCTTCTCTCCATCTATTTTACTTTTTGTTACTCCTCTGGCAACAAAATAACAAGAAAGTGTGCTAATTTTGCAGATTTTTGTAATGTGGCTGGACTTTGTTACTTACCTGCATCACCACGGACATGACCAAAAACTTCCCTGGTACCGGGGCAAGGTACTGATATTACCAGTCTCAGCTGGAAGTACTTAAAAAATCAAAACTTTAACACAAGTACTCAAGGATTTGACGATCATTTGTCAGGAATGGAGTTACCTGAGAGGAGGGCTAACAACAGTTGATCGCGATTACGGATTTTTCAACAACATCCACCATGATATTGGCACGCATGTTATTCATCATTTGTTTCCTCAAATCCCACACTATCATCTAATAGAAGCGGTAATTGAAATCTCTGCTTAAGTTATTATTGAGGGAAAAAACATCCCAGATTGCAAGAACCTAAATTCAATTCTGATTGCAGACAAAAGCAGCAAAGCCAGTGCTGGGAAAGTACTACAGAGAGCCAAAGAAATCAGGGGCATTTCCATTTCACTTGTTCGAAAGTCTACTTAGAAGCATTAGAGAAGATCATTATGTGAGCGACATTGGAGAAATTGTGTACTATCAGACAGACCCTGAGCTATACAGAATTCCTAAAAGCAAGTTAAGCTGATTCTTTCTTTTAGAGCATAGCATTAGCAAGAACAAAGAGAATACGATGGTGTTTTTTTTTTTTTTGGATTTATTTAATTTAGTTGCTAAACAGTGAGATGCGGTTCCCCAAACTATAAGGAGAAATTAAGGGGATGTCGCATCGTGAGTAGGAAAGTGATTTGAGGGATTTTTGAAAGGGATGGTGGTTGATAATAAAGTAAGGATTTTTATTGAAAAATGAAAAGATCTTTTCCTGCCAATTTTGTCATCATACATGTTTTTGCTATTATGGAATCCTAAAATGTTGATCTTCAGGCCGCAATTCTGCTCCGACATTGCTTTGCAGGTACAGCACACGATCAACTTGCACCTATCACATGACAAGTGTATCATTGCATTTGCAAAAGTCAATTAATTTCCCACACATTTTTTCGATATTAGTCTATCCATTTAATCCACAATCTTTTTTTTTTTTTTTTTTTTTTTTTTTTTTTTCTATATTAGGGGGGGGAAACAAAACCATTATAGAATCAACATTTAAAGTCTGTTTGCTTTAAACTCTACATCCCATCATATTAAAAATAAAATTCTTTAACGGGTATTTTATTGGTGGTTTTCTCAATTGGAATCTCTATAATTTTTTTTTTTTTTTTTTTTTTCTATAGACATATGAGAATCAACATTTAAAGTCTTTTGCTTTAAACTCTACTCCCATCATATTAAAATATAAATTCTTTAACGGGTTAATTTTATTGGTGGTTTCTCAAATTGGAATCTCTATATTTAATTATGCTTACATTTCAATTTCTAATTTAAAAATGTTAGACTTTCAATTTTGTAACATTAAAATGTCTTTACGTTTCAATTGCACCGCATTTCCACTTGGATTAATAGGTGACATGTAAAAAAAATTAAAATATTATCTAAGTGGAATAATATATATTTTTATTTTTAAAAATATTTTTAAATAATAAAAAATATTTTGATAGTAACAATTAGCTAAAGTTGTACATGGTCACACAATAATTAAATTGAATTTAGTCAAGTTAAAAACTTTTCGATTAGGCATAAACAATGGTAGGATCCATACTTTGGTTAAAATTTTTATATAGAGTTTAGACTTAAAAATTTTTATTAAAAGGATTCATATGCTAGGATTTTGTATCCTCAAATAAATTAAAAGGATATCCATATATAATATCGTTGAAATTGGATCGTTCTGACCGGTTAAACCAAAACCAATTGGTTGTTCGGTTCGAATATCAAGGTGGGGTGATTTTTGAAAAAAATTATTATTTTTTTAGAAAATCAGGTTGAGCCGATGATAAAATTTGGGGTTCTTGATAAAACTGGATTTTCTTAATCAAAATCATTTTTAAAAAAAAATTGGATTTTTTTTTAGAAAATGAGTTGAAAATTATTTCATTGCAATATATATATATAAATTAAAAAATTAAGAATCTAGTTGAACTAGTCCAATCCGATCTAATCTTGATCCAATCATGATAGCGGTTCAGTTACCAGTCCAGTTTATAATTACTTAGGTATTGTTCGATCCTTATAGAATTTATTTTAGACTTAAAATTTTTATTATGTATATTAATTATTTTGATTAGCTTGAATCAAATTAACTATGACCAATAAACATGACAATGTCAAAAATAATTTTTTAAAAGTTAAAAATTAATGATTGTCATCATTTTCAACAACATATATAATTAATTATGAGATAAAAGTGAAGTAAAATAATTAATTGTGGGAATATGTATTTAATGCATACATTTTTTTCTAAAATTAAATTTTTTTCCCATCTAAAATCACTCAAAATTATATCTATCGTTTGAAGTGTCATGATTTTAGAATCACCGTGATCTAAATAGCACTACTCAATGAAAAAAGGAAAATGGAACTGACGGAGTAAGTAATGGTTACAAGTTGCTCAAATTCATACTTACCTACCTCAATTGTCAAGCAGATTAATTTTCCGTATCTATTTTAAGTCTATATATAATTGCTCAAACTGCAATAAATGCGTAGGAGTATGGATATTGACTACGTCTATCCCTAGTTTTGCAACTTAAAAAAGAATCCTCAGCAAATATTAGGGAAAACAAATACTATTTGGTCCTTGATTATTGACATAATTTACTATCTCTTCTTTTTATTTTGATAAATTCTATAAGTAATCCACGTGATTTGGCCCATTGAACAAATTGGTCCTTTCATATATTTTGAGTAATTTTCTTTGTTAATGAAATGTGAAAATACTAAAATAACTTCTTTTTTTTAGTATTAAGGAAAGAGGTTCCATCCTGGATTTATTGCCGGTTGTATATACACTTATCACTATTAAATAAAATATATGAAATCTCATTTAAACAATGTAATTAATCATATTTAACCTTACATATAAAGCAATTCTTAATATTACTCACAATATATGAAAGAACCAATTTACTCAAAATTGCCCATTTTAATTACATAATTCGTATATATATGAAAATATATGGGATTAGTGTAATGGAACTAAAGAAAATTGGTCAAGTTAATCTAATATATATATTGTAAGGACCATATATTTTAATTACATAATTGGTCAACAATCATATATTTGTAAGAAGAAAGTAGTCCTCGTGATTTGCCCATTTTGTAAGGACCATTTTCATATATTTTGTAAGGTTAACATATATTTTAATCACATTAATTAGTCCTTACAATTTTGTTTTTGGTCCCATTTTGAGTAAATTCTACGTTTTATTACATGATTGCCCATTTTACCAGGTGGTATTGGGGCTTTAAACCATATTTATTTATTCGTTTCAATTATCATTTTATTTTATAAGTATTACTTGATATAGTTGTGGTTTTTCTTAATTGCTCAGTGGACTTTAACATAATTGCATCCTATTTGGTAAGAATGGTTGTGTAGTGATCGCAATTGATCCATGATGAAAGAAAAATATAAGTAAAACTGGTAAATATTTCAAATCATTTGTTTTCCTCTGGAGAAAGGGATAGATTATATTTATTTTTAATTTTTCTTCTCTCACCTCTTCTCTTATATTGGACTTCTCTTTTTCCAATTGATTGTCTTTTACTATCAAAAAAAAAAAAAAAATATGATTGTCTTTTAATAGAAGGACCAATGTCTCAGATAAAGCTAAACTACAGGGATTAATTATGTAACTTATCAAAATATAAGGATTAGGTATTAAATTAGATCAAATTGAAGTGTACTTTTTCCCTAAGTAATATTTACCTTCACTCGCTAACAGTCTCCTTATTTAAATGAAACACTTTCTTTATGTAATTTACAAACATAATTCCTTAAACTCCGCTTTTTTTTTGCCCTTTTCCTTCTCTTAGACGCTTCAACGTGTATAGATAGATCTCTCTCGCCCATCAACCTAACTATTTCTCCTTTTTTCCCATTTCTTTTCAAAAATCGTCTTTCACTTGCGCTCAGATCTGCAACCACCGACGCACTCTTCACTTCCTCTTTTCAACTACATTCTCTACTATGGCTACCAAATTCTTAGTATCCGCCATTTTAGCCTTTCTGTGTATACAAATCGCTCTCTCTGCAACTCCACCGGAATCACCCAGTCCGTCTTCTGACTTAGAGGCTGATTCACCATCACTATCTCCTCCTTCTCCTTCACCAGAATCTGGATCTCCTTCATTACCACCGACAGATTCACCAATATCATCACCGCCAGCGCCTCCACCTTCAGATCTGTTATCTCCTGGTTCCAGTCCTGCACCGGCTCTCTCACTTGAGAACTCTACAGTTCCTTCTCCGTCACCCGCACCCGCACCCGCACCCGCACCGGCGGAAGTGAGTGATATCAATCACAGCGACAATGTAGAAGCAGGCGGTGAAGAGGAGAAAGGATCTTCTGGAATGAGCGGCGGAAAGAAAGCCGGAATCGCTGTTGGAGTGATTGTGGCTGCCGGTGTGGTTGGATTGGGTGGTTTGGTATATAAGAAGAGGCAGGACAACATCAGAAGATCTCGGTACGGTTCTGCGGCGGCGGCAACGAGAGAGTTTCTTTAAGAGGAGGACGATAGAGGTTACAAAAATTTAAAATTTTATTACTATAAATTGATTTTTAGCTCTATATTTGAAAGGATACACAATTGAGTGAGAGGATCTAGTAGTTTCTTTGATTCATTGTTCATTATTTGCAGAGTATAAGCTTTTTTTTTTCCCTTCCTTTGTCAATAATGCGTATTAGGTAGTTAATTTTGAAGTTTGTTTTTACTAATTTGCTTTACTTGATATGGTTATTGTGATATAGATCTCAGTTTCAGTTTTATTAGGTGATTCGATATCGAGAATTTATATTTTATTAATTTGGAGAATATTCATTTTAGTATAATAAGCATTTCATATTTAAAATTGCAACTAAATTGAAATAATTATTTGGGAATTACCCAAAAATTATTCATTCTATTTTCGTGCTATTTGAATATTAGTCAGTTAAATTCTTGAGATTCGTAATTAATGATATGCTATCAGATTTTGATTTTAAGTTTGAAGTTAATTTAGCTTAACGAAGTCAATGTACTGTGTAATCAAAGTGACTCTCAACTCTCTCTCTAAAAGAACTCTCATTTATGAGAGTTAAGAAGATAGGTTAGACATTAATACGCATCAAATGAAGCATGCTGAGCAGATCCCATAAGATTGAAACTAAATTTATACTGAATTTTAGCGGAAGAAAGAATATGTTTGTACACATTGAATATGACGAGCAGAAGAAAATAAAATAAAGGTGAGAATGAGACAATGATGGCGTTTTGGCAACAGAATATCCGAGTCAAAGTTCCATTGGAGTATTGCTCTGAACCATGTGGAGCTCTTGATGTGTCAAATGAAATTTAATAGGTAAAAGTATTTTTATTTTACTCCAATAATAATTGAAGGATTTTTAAATCACAAAAGTGTCTGTTTTAAGTGCTGCAGCCATATTATAATATTTTCCTTCCACCTTTCTTTCCATTGATATGCCTACACACTGAAAATATTGGAATTTTGCAAGCTGGACATGGAATGGTTGGTTTGCTTTGTCCTCGTTTGTGAATTGTGACGTGGGTCAATATATAGGACAGAATGAGATTATGCGATACTCTTCTTTTTTTATTAATTAAAAATTGTGTCACCAAATAATAATTTTTTTTTTAAAAAAAAAGAACAAATTTTGAATTCAATTAAGAATATTGACTCACTAATATTCCTTTTTTGTACTAATACAAATTTTTTCTATCTTTTATACAATGGAGTTTCTTTGTTGAACATAAAGAAAATAGAACAAAATATTTCTAATTATTAATCCATTATTAAACTTAAAATAAGAGCCTTACTATTTATTATTTACATTAAAACCTGCTTAATTTATTAGTCAATTTTATATTTAGACAAGCACATGACTTTTTCTTTCATAATAATTATTACATTAAGAAGTGATTACTGCCATAAAAAAAATTAAAAATACAAGGATGAACATTTTAAATGGGCTACGACTAATAAGCGTATCAAATTAAAAAGTTAGGATGATACTGAGTAAGCCATGTCATCTTTCATTTTATTACGAAGGTAAAAGACCCGAGCTAGTTTGCAAGCTACTCACTCACGCTCGAAAAAAGTGCAAAAAATTGAATTTGTCAGGTTTATCTTAATCTCAAACCGAGCTTAAATTCAAAATTTTTCAAGTTGAATTTGAATTGAAAATTTTCAAGTTTCAAGTTGAATTCGAATTCAAAATCTTTAGATTTGCAATTTTCAGCCGAGCTTCGAGCCTAATAAATTCAGCTCATTTACACCCCACATTTTACCTCACTGCGAGATGAAGAGCAAGGAAGTGATTAAGATGACTGTAGTCCTTGTCAGTGATATATACATATAATTTTGCTCACCTATTTTTGAGTTCTAGACATTTCCATTATCAATGTTGCTGCCATTTGATCATTTCCTAACTTCTTATACCCTTCAATAAAAGCATCATAAATCTTTAAATCTGGTTCAAACCCTTTGCCTGCCATCTTGGCTTGAAGCTTTAATGCTTCTTCCATCTGGCCATCCTCGCACAACCGCTTAATCAACAATTCATAACTCTTCCTACTTGGACAAAAACTAACATCTCTCATTGCATTCCTAATAATCTCCAAAGCTTCAGAAACTCTCTTCTTCTCACAAAGTCCTTCAATCAGCATGCCTATTGTTGAAGCTTCAGGCCTGAAATCTTTCTGAAGCATATCTTTATATACAAGAATAGCTGAATCAACATCCCCAACTTTACAATAGCCATTAATTAGGTGCTCAAAGGTAACACTATTACTTTCTACTCCACCCAACTCCATTTCTTTAAAAAATTCCTCAGCTTTTTCAATCTGCCCGCTCTTATAAAATCCACCAATTATAGTATTATAAGCCGTAACATCGAGCCTCAGTCCCTTCACTCTCATTTCTTCCCATAACTTCTCTGCTTCTCTCATCTTCCCTTCACCACAAAACAAAGCCATCAAAATGTTATAACTATACAGATTTGGAACACATCCAAATCTCTCCATTTCATTCCATACTTCCTCTATCATCTCCATTTCACCATCTCTATAAAACCCCATCATCAAATCATTAAAACTATGTACATCGGGCCTCAATCTAACTTTACTATCGCCGTCTCTCAATCCAAAAATCTCTCTAAAAATGCCATAACCAGCACAAGAACCTTTACACTTAGCAACGCAAGAAATCAACAAATTACAAGTTCTAATTTGTGGACTAATCCCACGAGACCTTAACATCCTTACAATTTCAATAGACCCATCAATCTTTTTCAACTCAAGGCAAGATTTTATCAACAAATCAAACACAAATGGAGCAGAATCGCATTGCCTATAAGTTTTCAGTAACATTTCAAAGAATTTAACTGGCGCATTATTACAATCAAACAAACAACGAGAAACAAGAGCAGACTTGATAATAGACAAAGCTTGCACCTTTAAGCGGGCACGAGAGAGGATATGGACAATGGTAGAGTAAGAGTAGAGATCATGGAGACAAAGGGAAGAGTTGTCTAGAGTGAAGAAGAAGAAGCGAAGGGCAAGATGGGGGTTTGATTTCAATTGGAGGGCAATCTGGGAAAAGTGGATAGGGGTTAGAGTTTTGGTGGAGTAAAGTAAGGAGCGGAGATTGGTCCATCGGGATTTGGAACGGTGGTGGATAAGCAGTGAAACAACGGTGGAGACTATGTGGGATTGATCAGACGGTGGAGTGGAAGCGGAGGAGTAGAGATGGTAAGCTTTTATGGGTTTTGGAGGAGAGAGAAAAAAGTGCTTTACAATTGAAGTTGCCATTGGCGGTGCCAAGTGAAGTATCACTTACTGAGTTAAACTAGAAAAGAACCGGCTATTCTCAAAACATCCTTTCATTTAAATTCTCCAATCTATGATCAATCAGTTAGGATAACGCTTCTCTGTAGCACACTGAATTCAACTGTAAAAAAAAAAAAATTCAATTAATTAACAAACGAAATCATGAACTCAAAACTCATTTAGAAGAGGAAATATACTATCATATTGAGAATCCAAAATTGCAACAAAATTCACCTTAACTATTTAAGCAAGTTCAGATAGGGATGGCAGCGTGGTGGGTACCCGCTAGAAATAAACTACCCGACCCCGAATCCATTATCATTTTAAGTACCTGAATCTATCGTGAATCCCTCAAGGAATAAACCAATAATATCCAGACTCGTCCCAAATCCGTTTAGAATTACCCGCATACCACCCGAACCCGTTTAATCACAAATTTATTCAATCCAAAAAACCCGAACCCATTTAAATACCCATTTAATTACAAATTTATTCAATCCAAGAAACCCGAACCCACATGGAACCTGAATCTGAACCCGAAGTGCAACAAAAGAATATATAAAAAATGCATTAAAATCCATCTTCAAATAATAAACAATTTAACCTGTAATATTCTAAGACAACAATACATAGTAGTATTAAAATAGAACAAACGAATTGAAATTCAACCTAAATAATTAATTCAAACCAATATCTCAATTAAACAATTTAGCAATCAAACATCTATTAAAATTCAATAAGAATAATAACAATTCAGGGTTGCTTTTTTGACGTTGTGCATTAAATTGAGAGGGGTCCAAATTTCTTGATTGGAGAAAAAAGTTGAAGAGTAGGGGTTTTGTGTTCTGATGCTCTGGATGACATTGGTGTTAACTAGTACAAGAGAAGAAAGCCCCGCGTGTGAATTAGTGTGTCTCCTCCTCCCTGAGTATTTAGACCCGGTAGATAGTTCTGGCGTTAAGCTATTTTTGTGTGATAACCAAACCGGAGGCGAGGGTAAACTAATTTTTCCGAGAATTGAAATCAGAAGACCCAGGTGGAAGATAGGAAAAGACCGGAAAAAAAGAGAAGTAGAGAGAAAATGCGTAAGCTTCTTTATGTGTCGTTCTTTTTCGCTTTAGTGGGACTTTTCTTAGGACAACGAAGCACTATTATAAATACAACTTGCTTTTATCACATTAGAAAGTTGCCATTGAAACCCATTTTGGTGCCAAATTGAGATTGTTGATCTCCCATCTTTACTGAGTTAATTACTTATTGAAAAAAGAATCCCAGGCCTATCTTTATATCTTTCTCTCATAATTTACATCACCTTAATCATTTAAACTTTACTTCCCAAAAAATCAGTCTGCTATGTATCTCTCAGTTCAGGGAGATTAACGCATTCTCTGTAGCAACAACTTAGAATCACCCTGTAAAAAATTACAAGAAAATTCAAATATAAATTATACTAAATCAAACGAAATTCCCTAAACAGCCGATATAGAAACTCATAAATCTTCATTTTAGTAAGATGGATTATTTTTATACACTATCTATAATTTATTGTAGAAAAGTCCACACCCCAAATAATCATCTGGCAACAAAACATTTCAACTACCTTAACTAATCTTAAGAAGGCCGAGGAGTTCACTGATAAGGAAAAGAATGGAACTGTTAGGTGCTATGTGTTTGGTTCCCGCTGTAGATACTCAGACTACCCGACCCGAATCCAATTATTCATTTTTTAGAGGTACTCTGAAAATCTTAATCATGTTGAATCGCTCTCAAAAGTCAAATTAAAAACCAAATAAATATCCAAGAAACTCGTAACCTCAGTAAAATCCGATTTGGCAATATGATAAGAATATAACCCGAATAACACAACTGTAATGCCTTGTGAATCCGACTTGGGATAATTGTAATCATTTCAAGGAAATATTCCTTATTCAAACTTCAAAAAAAATAAGAATCTTGGTCCAATGTAATTGAATACCCATTTTAAAATAACCAATTTAATTTACGATTAATATCTTCAATCTAGAAAACCTGTAATCATTTCCAGTTAATCTTTTCCCTTACCTATGGAAACCCTGAGACTCCTGTAATCGCCGTATTTAGAGATGAAACAAAAAGTATAATATATAAAAAAATTGTGGCAAGTAATTAGCATATTAAAATACCCATTCTTCAAATACAACAACAATTAATTAACCTGTACACAATATTTCTACTAAGAACACAACCCAAAATTACACCCTCATTAGATCCTAATTAACAAACTCCTAGAACACCCCCACAACGTAATTGAACTTTCAACCCTACCAAAATACATTTAATTCCCAAAAACCCCCCAACATATACTCCAAACTTTTTAAAAAACACACCAATTATCCTAGTGTCAAATCAAACTATCTTATTTTATTAAATTCAATTCTAAAGATCCCCACAACAACCAACATAACAAACTAAAAATTCCCAATTCAAACCTATGAATACTACAGCTTCACAAACTATTAACCAAAATGTAATCATCATGATGATGCCAACACCTAAAATCCCACCTATATTCATAGAACATTAATCAAACAACGCTACTCCATACCCAATAAAAAAAATATATACCCAGAACATTTTAATTAAATCCAACGTACCACTTCGAAGACCCAGAAAACCTAAACACTGCCAATAATAAAACCGTCTAATGAAAGTAAGATTTTTACAATAAAACACAAGAAATTACAAGTGCTCAATACTTTACATCTTTTTTTTGTTACAACCAAAAAAATTATAGAAACACCAATATAATCAGCACATGGAGTTTTTAAATAAGAGGACAAATTCTAACTAATTCACAAATTTCTTCTATCGGACTATAAATTATAAAAACTACTAATAGGAACTTTTAACCGCAACTTCTGAACTAAAAAATTTAAAAGATAAGAACAAGAATCTGAAAAATAAATAAGAACAAGAACAGTTTAACTCCCACTCATCTAAGTCGAGCCCTATTCCCCTAATATCCTTCTAAAAAAAAAAAATCAGCCCCTATTAAACATACCAATTATAGCAGACAAAAAACTCAAATTAGTGTAAAGCAAAAATCCACATAACAAACTAAAAATCAATTAAAATATAATAATACTAAACTATAACAAATTATCATAGAATGAGAACTAAATCCATATAGAACATAATAAAAAGCATCTCAATAAAAAAAATTACAGAATTAAAAAGTACATTGAAGCAGAACAACACTGCAATAAAAACGCATGAAATTTTACATAAACAGAATTCTTGTACTCCACTTTTTTTTTTTTCAAGAACCAAGATCGCAAGGATTAACAATCAACATCATCTTCTTCCTTAAAAAAAACATTAGACTCCGCACATGAACAAGAATCTGAAAAATAAATAAGAACAAGAACTCCACTATCTAAGTCAGCCCTATCCCCTATATCCTTCTAAAAAAAAAATCAGCCCTATATAAACATAACTTTAGCAGCAAAAAACCAAACTTTATTAACAAACCACTCTCAGTATATGACAATTATATGCAAATAATCTCATTCTCAGTATCTGAACACAATCTTAATCATTGTTAACAAATCAAACATTAAATTAACAAACCAAAAATGTCAGATTTCACTCATATAGCCACGAATTGGCTTATATTCACCATCCTTTTGCCTTCTAATATATATATTTTCAAGAAACAAAACATGCACGAAACCCACAAACGAAAAAATAAAAAAAATAATCATATATCTTTCGGCTGAACCCACAAATTAATTCAACAATTTCTCCTCTTTTGTCTGTTTATATGTATTCATATATATAAAAAAAACAAAAAGAAGGGAAAAGGGATGAAGGAAAACGAAAAAAAATAAACTGAGAACGAAATAAAAATAATCAAAAACGAACCTGGCACTTGTACGCTTGAAGAGCACGACCGTTGCGGAGGCGACGATCAAGAACGAAAGCGACGGGAGGGCATAAAGAAAGACTGTGGCTGTAGAGGCAGAGAACGAGCGGTGCAGGGACAGGGAGGGAGGAGAAACGCTTAACTTTGAGTTGAGATTTGAGAGAACATTTTGTTTGTATTATTAAAATCCATCTAAGCTAAAATACATACATCAAAATTACGTCATTTTGATGGTAAAAAAAGTTGTTTTTATTATTATTATTATTATTATCATTGAAGTTATTATTATTATTATTGTTATTATTATCATACTAGCTAATAATTAAAATGCTATAATTATATTTCAATATTATAGTAATTGCAATGACAATAATATTAGGTAACGTATTAAATTTAGTACTTTTTTATTAGAGAATTACTTAGCAAGTCATAATTAATTATGTTTGTTGTAATCCTTAATCTATATACACTAGTTTCTAGGTATATGATGATATTGATAAAAAAAAATGATAACATTTAATTAAGATCTAATTATAATTATGTTTATAAGTTAATTGGTGATATTCTATATTAGTCATATTCTAATTTTCGAAAAGTATATCTAGATTTCATTTTCAACGAGTCATATTTTAAATTAAGATATAATTATAATTACTGTTAGAAGTTCACTAGTGATAACGATAAGTAGCTTTAAATTTTTTTTAATTATAACATTATTAGCATTCTATTCAATTAAGTATATATAATTTTGTTTAATATATTTTATGATAAATTCAAATTATTAAGATATTTTAATTTAATGTACATAATTTTATTAAAATTTACTTACGAATAAAATTATATTACCATCCAATAATATTTTATTAATTAATAAATATTTAAAGTATAAGTAACTATAATTACATGTAACATATATTTATATACATTTCGTATGTAAGGATGTTAAGTAATTTGGTGGCAAGGTAACTTAATCGTTACATGGACATTATGGGTTTGATTCTACCAATCATTATAAAAATTTTGCTTTAAATCAAATGGATAACAGGACAGATGTATCTACTACCCGAATTCTTGAACCAAAATCCAATCCCAACCTGATGTGGGTATTAAAATCATAAATCAAAATCAATTAAATAATAGAAATTCAATAATACAGCTCAAGCAAAGTACATCCAGATGCAGGTGGCAAACACTACATTGCTTGAACTTAAGCAAATCTTGAATTTCTTATTGGTGGATAAATTACAATGCTATTTGTATGGTAAATTGAAGATTACAATCTAATAGTCGCACTTAAGTTAAATTGGTTCACATACATGCTATTTCTGAGACATATTGATTCTGCAAAGATTTTATCAACCTCCAGTGCTTGTATAATTAGAATTTGTAACTGTGACATCCCTTTTACTTCTCTTCTTTATTTCTTATATGCCGATCACAACCACTTGATCTTACTCTTCTGCTGGAGGGTCAACCCAGCGGCCATGATCTTTTATTAGCTGGATCAATGCATCGGTGGCTCCCTCCATATCGATTCCACGCTTTACCACAGTCTGAAACAAATTCCACACTTAGCAATAAAATCCAGCAACATAAAAATATGCAGAAGCATTTTTTTTTTTTTTTAATAGGAATGCCGATTTCTGAACATAATGAACTTTGAACGAAATGCAATCAATACCTTTCCAACGTATAGGTCAATCTTTCCGGGAGCACCACCAACATATCCAAAATCTGCATCAGCCATCTCACCCGGTCCATTTACAATGCAACCCATAATTGCAATCTAACAACGAAAAATACAAAGAAAAAGAGATAATGAGTCTCAGAATAAAAGGGAGTGGGCAATCAGCATCATTTACTGAAGGTGGAAAAGGATTGGATAATGGATATGTACCGAGACACCAGGCAAGTGAGATGTCTTTTCTCGGATTTCTGCACTTATTTCTTGAAGGTCAAACAAAGTTCTACCACAGGATGGACACGAGACATACTCCTGTATTTAGAAGAAAGTTCAGAAGTGAGTAAACATAATCATTTCCTAAACAATCTTTTGCATCCTGTATTTGTTGAGAGGTAAGCTTCATACCGTCTTCGTGTTTCTCATTCTGCAACCCTGTAGCAAGTTGAAAGAGGTATTCCTCAGGAAATCAAAATCCTGGCCTGGAGCTTCTAGCAGGAGACCATCGCCAAGACCATCTACTAAAAGTGCCCCAGCATTTGTACCAGCACCAATGACCAAGTCATCCCTGCAAATTGAAAATAAAAATAGTATAAGACATAACTGCTCATTTCACACATCTCAGTCGTTAGTAGAATAAAAGGTGTCTTGATTACCTGTGGATTGCATTTGGAAACTGAATATGGTGAATTACAGGGAAATTCAGAGCATGGTCTGATAGGAATTCAAACAACCTGCAGTCGATAGAAGTTTCAAGCTGTCAGTACGAAAGCCCATATCTGGAATGGTTCCTTTGGTATTGGCTTACAGATTCAATTAAATGATAAATAAATCCAGTCTGCAAATTACCTCCTGGCTGCATGCACTCTACCAATTTTATCTTCTGTAAATGGTAGATCATGAAGAATCATTGTAGCATCTATATCTTTGAGGATTTCCAATTCTTCATAGGACTCATCACCACGTACAGACACAACCAAGCGTGTACCTGATATGTAATTTCATGATGCAGTGTTATCAATATACGTGGCACGAAATTAGAACAAATTAGAGCAAATGTAGATTAAAAACCAATAATTTGAGGACATTAAAAGAAGTGTCACCTTCTGGCAAAAGCTTGTAAGCACCAGTTGCAATCTCCTTAAGATTTACAAGAACCATGGCATTGGGCAATGGCTTTGTCAGCTGCTCTGACAAAGGAGTAATAACTCCCATGCTAATGTCTATGAGTCTTTTGAGAGCTAGCCGCTGGTCACAATACAAAGTACAATATCAAGTCATTCTGATTTTCAAGTAAATTAATTATATATAGGCACAGGATTCAGATGAACAAAGAAATCTTTCAAACAAAATAAAACAGGAGAGTTAGGATCTTACAGCATCGCTATCCTCCACAGGTGGAAGCTCTCTCAATAAGATTGAGTCGACTGTTGCCAGGTCCTAATTAAAAATATTTGGGTTGATTAGAGGAGTCACTACAAAAATGCTCTCAACAGACTTCAGTCTTTCCATGCAAGCAAGAAAAAGGAGAGGGAGAGAGAGAGAGAGAGAGAGAATAAGAAGAACGAACCTTAAAAGGCATTCCAACAACAAGCTTTGCTGCAAGTGACTTGTATAGGAGTTCAGGAGCCTGAAAGAAGAGAAAGGATTTATGAAATTCCTACTTCAAAATACTGCCCCAACCTTATTCCAAAAAGACCCTGAATATAGAACATAAACAAGAAAAAGGCATCACTGAGTGATTACCTTTAACTGATCCAAGGAAACTGACATAAGAACAGAGCCATCACGGTGCAGGACACCTCTATAATCCACCTCCTCACCCTGTAATTACATGAAGAATCAACTATCTATCTGCAAAGGCTGAATAGAGCTATAAGAAGAATACTGTTACAAATTTCTGAAAAGGTAAAAACTGACCTCCTTTTGTACTGGCAATTGACCAGATCGGCGCTGGAAATCAAAATAATGCCTATGTTTTTCTTCAAATGGTGCCTGATAAGAGGGAAAATTTGTTAGCAATTCTTAGTATGGCAGCATTTGCAGGAGAAATATACGGTAAAAACCTACCACTCCTTGTTGGATTGCAGATGCTCTCATACCAAGGTTGGCCAACCTTCTGCAAGGGTCTATCTCTTTCTCTGGTGGCTCTGTAAGTGACACCCTGATTGTATCCCCCAAACCATCCTGCATTAATAGTGTTGCTAATTGTCATTCCATATGTAATTTTTTTTCTCCAATCATATTAAATATTTAGAAAATAATCAAACAGAAATGCAAGACCATAAATCAAAACTTGCAACAAGTTTTAAGTCCACTACCAATCGTTCACTTGTCATTGCCTGATGGCAGACTTCTAACACAAATGTGGAATAAGATGATATGAAGACTGCAATTGTTATACATGTTGAATATGCAAGAATACCTGAAGAAGTGTCCCAATACCAATTGCAGACTTCATACGCCCATCTTCACCTTCTCCAGCTTCAGTGACACCCAAGTGTAATGGATAATCCCAGCCCTGAACATACATTTCTGCTACGAGCAAACGGTATGCCTGGACCATGATGACAGGGTTGCTTGCTTTCATTGAGAACACAAAGTTATGGAAATCCAACTTCCGGCATATCCTTGCAAACTCAAATGCAGATTCAACCTGTTGCGGGAAAGTCAATCAATATAATGGCAATGAATCTGGAAGTACAATACAGCAAACACACAAACAAGAAAGTTATTCAGCATTGAGAGAGAAAAAATACTCACCATTCCCCTAGGAGAATCTCCATAGTAGCTCATTATGCGATCTGAAAGGCTTCCATGGTTTGTCCCAATGCGCATTGCCCTTCCATACTTCTTACATTTCTCAACCAATGGAGTAAAAACCTGGAAAGATGCAGTTGAAAAAAGAAGGAAAACTAAGTCAGTCTCAAGGAATCAAGAGAAAAGAATAAATAAAGATCTATTTTACTCAATATTTGATATTGATTGGTCACAACTATCTACAGACACAAAGACAGCTCAGTAGATACGCAAGCAATTGACCAAAAAATAACTTTCGTTCTTTTCTTGTCCATCCCATTCTCCAAAGTAGAAATCTTTTGCCTTTGAAAACTTAGAAGCTCTTACAATTGGATAGCTGCAGGTTTAACAGTAGAGAAGGAATAGGCAAAATTGTAGCGTTTTAAAGAACAAATCACAGATCACTTTTAAGACAGATCTCAATGGCTGGAGTATCTGCAGGTTGCTTATAGTTTCAAAAGAATGTTTGGGAAGAAATTTCTGGAGGAAGTCAACCAATTCAAGCTTTTACAACCTTATATAGTAAAAAACTTCTTTTTGCCATCTTTGGAACAAAATGTATGCACTTTTTATCATGCTTTCTACAGCTAATCTTGGTCTGGAGGGTTTGTGAAATCTATACTCAAGTTCACATCATCAAAGAATGACCTATGATCACTTTTATAGGGTAGCAGTTAGACCTGCT